CCCTTGGAATTCGGCGGAGGAAATTAATGCACACACCTAATACATTTCTTTTGGACCCACCAATTCGCTATGCTATCCCTCCTCTCCAAGCTAGTTTTTGTCAATCCTGTTCGAGGGATGGACTGGGCATTTAGTGCGGGGTGCGCTTAGATCTAGGAAATTTGTCACGTCGTGATATTATGCTCTATATATCCAAGACTCTGCGATGAGAATACACTTGAGCCATCTGCGGCGCCGATATTGTTATATATTCTGTGTCTTCAAATGTACAGTAACGCTCAAAAGTCTTAGGCCAAACGCTTTGACGCTTTTTCGTTCACAACTTTTTTCTTAGTGGACTAAATCGTACGAAATTTGGATATGTTTAACTAAAGCATATTTCACACTACCCAACACTATCTGACTGCAATTAGCCTTATCTCCACAACCAAGAGCAAGGGCTTGTTGCTGTAGCAGACTTCTCTAAAAGCAAAGTTGGTGAAGTCTGCAATTTTTCGAACCTTACGTGCGTTTTTCCCTATACTGAGCTCGGTAATAGCGCTCGTACTCTTGAGGAAATACAAAAAGGAAAGAGCTTTCAGAAGGATCATCATCTGTATTTTCAGTTGATTTTAAGTTCAAGCTCTTAAGTATATCTGGAACATGATCGGAACGCAGGTGGTGGTAGATAATCACAAAACACCCATGCTACACATATTGAAATTTCGCATAATCAGATCCAGTAGGAAAGGAGTTACGATTGAAAAGTATGACTGAAAAAGCATTTCACCGAAGTCTTTTGAGCTCTACTGTAGATGATTCAAATTATCCTGCTTGATCCCTCTTTACGTTGACGATGGCCCTTTTGTAGGTTAATTTCTGGTATTGAAGTTGCGAACGCCAGAGCTTGACTACAGCTTCATTCTCAATAGTATCAAAGGCTTCCTTCAAATTCATGAACGTCAAACAGCAACGGTAACAGTAACCTCTATTCTTGCACTTTCGCGACATTTCAGTAATCTAGATTGTGATTAATCAATCTGAACTCTCATGGAAAACCTGCGGTTTTTATGGTTGTCTTCCGCTTAGTGTTCCGCCAATAATATCGAGGGTGTCTTGAATGAAGAGCCCATGATCGCAAGTAGCATGCAGATGGGGTGACCGCTATCAGCACCGTTTTCATCTTCCTCTCATTCAGCAATCTTGTTGGGTTAGTGATTTCCGACGGCGAGCATTCCGTCAAGTACAGAATTAATATTGGAGGGATTCAGAGGATAATCGACGGCAAGCTGTTCAGATAGTCTGGTTTGTCGGACTTTGCAAGGGAAAACTGAAGGGATGACATGCCCACCCTACCTTAGATGGTAGGTAAGCAGGTAGAAGTTGCTGTTGAAGAGATCAGAGAAGAAGCCGTCGACAACCTCCCCCCTGTCTTCGAGATGCAGTAGCTCTACCACCAGGGCGACAACGGGAAGTCATCTTGGTCTTGTAACTACAAAAATGCTCTTTCCAGTCTCAGCAACTCCAGTCAGAGCAATTCCCATCTTTCAAAATTTCTTGTACCGCTTTTGTGCATTGCTCCTAGGCTTGGACTTCGGACGATAAGTATACCTATACTATACGATACCTCCTGCTCGTGCGGTCCCTCGCAAGCATATTCGTGAAGCCTCTGCTCTTTTAACACAATTGTGAAGATGTTAAAAAAGCTGGCTACCGTACTACTCGAGTTTGTCAACCATGGACATCTGCGT